AACCCCAGAGAATTGAATGCCTCTTAAAACCGCTTTGTATTTTATTTATTTGTACTAATATTTGTAAAGCCACAGCACTGTTTTATAGAGAACCATCCTTTTAATTTCAACTTAATACAATATTTTAAGGCACCAACCCCCCAAACTTCAAAAGGATACTTCAATGATTTTTTTTTAAGCTACCATTCTTATTAATCACTGATGCTAGGTTAAAGAAAGATGAAAATAAAATAACCTCCTGGACCATACGTAGTCTACCAAAGAAGGAGGAGGAGGCAAAGCACAAAGCAGGCAGGGGATGTTTTCTGCTCCACATTTTTCCAGGCTGTGAGTTATGGCCTCTATAGAGAGATGAGGAGTAATGTTTGCTGTGGCACATAATTGGCAAGGTACGCTGTGTTTTCCATCTTTATATTTTCCCAATCATATTTCAGCTCATGTCAGTCCAGATAACTCCCTCTCTGACCCTTTGGCTTTAAATAGCAGAAAAATACAACCCATGTTTTCCAGTGAGATAAACAGAAATTTGTCTCTCTTTTATTTCACAGCTTAGTCAATTTGAGGGGGACTGATAGGGTGGGACAGGTTGTTTAGAAACACCCTTAGATCCCAAACTGCTGAGCACCTACTGACTTCCTGCAAGTAAATCCACTCTGCATTTTGTAGGCTTAGCCTTTGTTTCCCAAGCAACATCAAGGTATTGCACTTCTTTTTTTTAAAGAAGTTCCCATTTCTAATCTGTGTGAATAATTTTTTGCAGAGTTTTCAAATTTAAAGATTAAACTTAAACCCAAATGAAGTTAGCTAAATGAAAACCAGAATGCAGACCAGTCTGTACAGCTGATAGACAGGCTGATCAGCCAAAACCCAGTCTAGAAAACATTCTTATCCAAAATCAGAGGCATACAGTGAGTGTTTGCAGAATTAAGGCTCCAAGGTGTGCATGGGTTGTGCATAATTGTGCTCAGTGTTAGGAGAGCAGGTGTCCTGGTAATATCTGTCTATATTCACCTGTGACACTCTCAGTGCTTCCTCCCCTTGTGACACCTGGCACCCCATGGTGGTGACTGTGCAGAGCCCAAAGGCAAAGGTACTAACAGCCTGGGAAGGTGCCCTGCCCAGTGCAGGGTCTTCAGACAGGACACAGTGCTTTGGAGGAGGATCTGCATCAGCAGATGGAGCTGCAGAAATTTGGGAAGCCATCAATGCCAAGCTCTCTGCCATCAGAGCAAATGGAGCTGCAATGTGCTGCACACCTCAGCGAAGTCCAGAAAAACACAGGAAAAGCAGGAGGATGTTTCTGTCCAATATTTGGAGAGAGAGCCCTGTGGTCACACAGCCCTGGCTGGGGCTGAGGAGAGCCCCAGGTGAGGGTGAGGGAGCAGAGCCATGGCTGGAGCCCATCAGCTCGTTTGCCTTGTGAATGGCCAGAGCAACCTCTGACTGCTCTGGATCCTTCTCTGGAGGTTCCAGTGCTTGGAGTTGAGCTCTGAAGTGTTTACCATGGTTTGTCTGAGATAAGGAGAAGAATGTGTGATTTTTGAGCTGAAGGGATGGCTTGTAATTCTTGTACATGTCCAGGGCAGGTTGGATGGTGCTTGGAGCACTCTGGAGTGATAGAAATGTCACTGCCCATGGCAGGGGTGGAATGAGAGGAGCTTTAAGGTCTATTTCAACCCAAACCATTTGGGATTCCATGATTCTGTGACAGGTGACTCTCCACCTTTGTCTAACTTCTGTAGGAGTAGCTGCCTGGCCATACCTTGGTAAAGCCATGTTTCCCCCTGAGATCCTCCAGGAATTTTAACTCTCTGCTGAAATCCAAAGTAGGGGAGTAAAAATTCTACTTAAAAGGGGCAGGAACGCCCCTGTGCTCAGGTTACCCTGTTTGGGCACAAACCCCTGGGACCTCAAGCACTGTCACAGAAGGGACTCAGGCTCAGAGCTTTCCTCTCATGCTCACATTTGTGTGAGCCAGGCCAGGGTAACAAGACTTTCAAAAGTCTTTATTTTATTTATGAAAAACAGGAACAGTTGGATGGAGACGTGACAAACCCACATCTCTTTATCACCACTGCACAAGTGCCAAGGCACTTCCTACCTGGGTCAACTCTTCTAGGCACTTGCCTTGTTTATCTTGTAATCTCCAAGATTTGTGTTTTTAAAAGCTGCTAAGATTTTCTCCCAAATAAGTCAAACTTATAAAATAATTTATGTAATGTAATTTATGATCAAACTAGACACTGGCTTCTGACTCTGCTTGTATTAACTAATTTTATATTTTCTACATTGCATTTTTCTCCCCTCTAAAAAGCAAAAGAACTGTTCTGCCTCTACAATGCTGAGTATGTCAGATTAAAGTGATCTCATAGTGGTTTTTGTTCTAGATCTTGAAAATAACTTTTTCAGAAAAAGTTGAATAAAAGTAATCAAAATGGAAGGGAAAAAAGAACCACATGTAAATTCAACTCTAAAATATTTCTTTGACAATGTCCCATTTGCTGCTTCGTGAAGTAGAAACCTGGTGTGGCGCATTGCTGCCCTCTCAGAGACAGAAGGGAGATTTCTTACTGTACATTGTTTATCAGTGCCTTTTTCACAGTGTTCTGCTTAAAATAGTGAGGGTGTTGATGAGGGTAAACTGGAGGAGGAGCTGAACTCCAAATATACCTGAAGCCTGGAATTTCTCTTCCACATTCAGATTTTTATAAAAAGCAAAGCATTCTAGAAAACTTCATCTGCAACTTCCACAGTCAAAATGAATAATTTTATGATTTTTTTTTTTTTAAGTAAGGAGAAACAAGGAATTCTTTGAGGATGTCTGATAATTGACTGTAAGTTCCTTAATAAATTCAGCACGTAGCAGCATTAGGGAATACTGCCTTTGCTAATAGAGGGCACAAAGTTGACTATTAACAGATTGTCATAATGTCATCTTGTTTTCCACTCACTTCCTCGGCATAAGGAAGTGAACGTTTATCATTAAAAGCGACAAGTAGAGAAATCCAGATCATATTATATGAAAGGGATGCAGCCAAGGCTGAAGAGTTGGAAGGTTTCTTTCCCAAGTGATGATTTTTTTGTGAAATGCAATGAACAGCAGAAATGGGCTTGTTTCATGGATAACAAACTCTTGCCAGCAGCTGAGGTCTGCCAGGACTCAACTGATGGGCACTTGGAGAAGGGAAGTGGATCATCCCATCTGCACTCCCCTAATTAACAGCCTAATTCTGATCCTATTGATGCAATGGTGCATTTTGTCATTGGAGAAGTAAGAGTAGGGCAAGTTCTTGGTTTGGGAGATCCAAACATTTTTAAGGGCTCTTTGATACACATGGGCCATCTCTGCAAACCTCCTCAGGCTGTGAAAGGTCCTCTCTCAGCTGAACTGTTTCTAGAAGTCTCACAGATCCTGTAGGAATGTGGGAAATCCACACACCAGAATGTAACAAAACTTCTAAAAGAGAAATTAAACTTAGATTTAAAGTGAGAACCCTCCTCCTCAAGAAACAGAAACCTGTCATTATGGCCTTATTGCACAAAGTAATATTGGCACAACTTCTGTCTCACAGCCCTCTGGTGAGGATGTTACTTCACCTTGCTCTGGTCATGGTGCCCTAGAGCAGGTCAGGATTTTTTCTTCATTTTATGAGGAATTTTGAAATTATTTATTTCATTAAGTCAGCACAAATGTCGAAAGTGTTGAAAACATTTTGACACCTACAATGTGAAAAAAAATGTCCCAGTGGAGTTAAAATGTTTTCAGAACAAGAGTCTAACAGAAGTGGTTGTCCTGTAAAAAATAGTTTTCAGTGTAGAATTTAATTTTTAAATAAAAAACCTATTTCTGAGCTGAATTTTTAAAAAGTTGAGCATATGGGTATTTTAACAAATTAACCCCCAAGCCCACCTATTTTGTTTTCCCCAGTCTTTTGCTATAACTTTAGTTTACCTACTTCTTATAGAACCTGGAAATAATAGACATGAAGCTGCCTTGATGCCTTGGAGCATCTACCTAGAACAGAGGCTAGACAAGATTAAGAGACTAAAATGGGTATTTATTACAGGCCTTCAACAGATACACCCGGGGCATCCAAAAGCCTTCCAGGGGCTACACCCAAGATGGACAATGGTCTTGGGTTTTTCAGACAATTATAAGCTCGGTCCCTTTACAAATCAGGGATTAATTCTCCAATTACAGCTTCAGGTAATGAAGTCATTTACCCCCAGTTTGCTCCCTCCAATTCACTTTTATTATTTTGGGGCCTGAGGCTGTCGGGTGTCCTTGAGTTTCAGGCCTAGGGGAATTGTTTTGTCTGACCAAATCGTGAAGACAGTTAACTAACACTCTGTATGGAGTTTAGAGTTATACACTAAATCACTACATGATTTGAAACATATAAAAGCTAAAATTCTAAGGCATCAGCCTGAAAACACTTGATCTCCCCCTGCCTCATGGAGAGGGGATCGCTTTAGAGACGAGCATCCACAAGGAGCAGAGCCCTGCTCGTGGCAGCAGATTCACAGCGTTCCCAAGAGCAGCCAGGGCTGTTCTCCCGTAGGAATTGCCCGCTGTGCCCCTCTGCTGTGCCCGCTGTGCCCCTCTGCTGTGCCCGCTGTGCCCCTCTGCTGTGCCCGCTGTGCCCCTCT